TTGCTTAAATAATTATACTCATTTTTTAATATTTAAATGAAGCTAGATTAGTTTTCCATATAAATTAATCCCCTTCCTTTCAAAAGAGACAATACCAGGAAAACAAATATCAAAAGCATCATTGGCTCTTAGAAGAAAAAACTAGTTTGAAGAAGAGGAGGAAAGGTAAAAAAAGAAAGGGGAGGAATAAAGAGAAGAGAGTAAACGCGGGATACGAGATTGCTAATTGGCTAGTTACTATTTCGATAATCCATCCTTCCATTATTCAGAAATAATTTACTTTAGTGTTGCATCAGCAAGGTGAGTCATACTGAGTCAAAAGTATCTTCAGCAGTTCTTCTTCTTATGCATGTCTGTACACACATTAACAACATAGGAATAAGCGAATGTTGCAATGTTTGGCCTTTTTTTGGTAAATTATAATGACTTTAGAGGAATTATATAAACTGTAATAAATGCTAAAACACATTCTTTATGCAGCAGCCCATGGTTATGATAAGATAAAGGGAAGGAAGAGCAGGAGAAATAGAGCCAGGGAGTTCTCATACACCAAAAGTCTTCCAATAGGAGCTGAAAAAATATAAAGTTTCCTTGTCTTTAACAACACTTGTTCCAGAAAGTAATCATATACTGCTTTGTTGCTTTATTAAAAGTGATAATGACCATTATAGTTTCTTTCACTTTATTCATATGTATTGAGCACTAGCTATTTGCTAAGCATTCTTCTGAGCACGAGATACAATATTGAACAACAACAACAAAAATGACAGTCCCCGAGAATATTTGGAACAGACAGACAATAAATAAAGAACATAATAATAAGTTCAAACATAATAGCATGTTTGAAGATGACTAGTGTTATAGAAAATAAACAGCAGAATAAGAGAAATAGGAAGTGTAGTGTCTCTGGGAGGGTTATTTTATGATTTCAACAGGTTGGTTAGGGTAGGCCTCCGAGAGACGACATCAGGGCAAATTCTTGAATGAGGTGACAGAATTAGGCTTCCAAGCAGAGGGAGGAAGGAGTCTCTCAGGGAGAGGGACAGCTAACGCAGAACTCTATGGTGGGAGCGTGTCTTGGCCAGTCAAGGCACAGAGAGTGTAGCACAGTTGGAGTAGACTGAGCAAGGTGGTGTGGAGCAAAACTGTCACAAAACAACTTTTTAAATACTGTTCTGTCAAACACCGTACTAGGCACGTGGTGTTTTCACAAGTTGCTTTTATTTCATTAAATAAAAATAGGTTTTTTTGTTATAGAATTTCAGTGTAAATCTTCTTGAATTGAATTCAAACTACTAATTTTTTCTTCCATGAGCCAATGATGCCTTTGATATTTGTATTTCTGATACTTTTTTGAAGCATGAAAATTAATTTTTATATGAAATGAATCATTAATATTCTGCTGAATTCTAATATTATAAAGCAGAATAGCTATTTGAACAAAATAGATACATAATCTATTATAAGTGTAAGATCAAGATTCATTCTTCACCCTTTCATTTAATAGATATTTATTGAGTCCATAAAATATTTCAAGCACTTAGTTAAGTGCAAATGATGGTGAGTCATTGATTTCATAGATTTTGCCATCTGGTAGAAGCCAGAAAGTAGGATTTAAAACATATTCTACAAGTGCTTGGAGAGGGGAAATACAGTGTGCTCTTGGAACACACAAGAGCTACATTAATCTAGATGTGGGGACAATGAAGTGTTCCCTGAAAAAGACGTTTCAACTTGCAACGTCAGGGATAAGGAAGAGTAGGCTTGGTAAAGATGGTGGGTGATGGGGTTCCAGGAAGAGGAAACACCACATGTAAAGGTCCAGAGAGGACAGAGAACTTGAAAACACCAGGGAGTCATTTAAGATCATTAAGCAGGGGACGGACATGACCTAATTTTTTAAAATCAGAAAGATCATTCTGACTAACGTATAGTAGAGAGTGAGTTAAAAGGGGCAAGATGAAGACACAAAGACCAGTTCAGCTGCTATTCAGTAAATTAGGCAAGTAATGAGAGTACCTGACCCAGCAGGGTGACAGTTATGATGGAACGAAATGGATGGATTCTTGATGTATTTAACGGGTGGAATGAATAGATAATGAATGAATAGGTATAGAGGAAGAGGGAGGAAGAGAAGTCACAGACAGCTCTCATGTTTCTAGGTTGAGCAATAGATAGAATGGAGCTGTTTGCTAAGACCAGGGAATGAACAGATCTGGGGGTAAGGAAGAGAACTGAGAAATTCCATTTTGTACTCAGTTTAAAGTTTCTATAAACATCTATACATATTTCCTCTTCATTACTGACAAATACTTGGCTATGTGGATCTGAAGCTCAGGAAAGGCTTAAAAGGCAAAAGAGACAAAGACAGACATTTCATTATAAAAAAAATAATATGGTATCCTGGCACAACATGTTAATTTGTATGCTTTATATACAAAATGCAGATTAAGCCATTTTTTCTCTATAAAAAGTAAAAATAAATATATGACAATGCTTAGACTATTTTAACTGCTCCTAAAAGTACACAGTAAGGGGATTTTTTAATGTAAAGTATTATTTTATTACATAGTAAGTATTTCATTATTTTATCCAAGAACATGAAATAATTTTTGTTTTTTTCTGAGGAAGATTCACCCTTAGTTAACATCTGTTGCCAATTTTCATCTTTTTGCTGGGGAAGATTCGCCCTGAGATAACATCTGTTGCCAATCTTCCTTTAATTCTTTTTATGTGGGTCACTGCCACAGCATGGCCACTGACAAGTGGTGTAGGTCCACACCCGTGAACTGAACCTAGGCTGCCAAAGCGAACACGCCAAACTTCACCACTAAGCTACCAGGGCTGGGCCCATGAAATAATGTTTAAGTAATAAATAATGGTTAAATTTAAAACATGACATTTTGCTTGTCTTTTAAAATAATTGTACTCATCTTTATTCTTTCTTCAAAAAGCATCCTGATTATTGGTTTTACTCAACATAATATTATCCAAGTATAATATGCAAAAGATTATTTCAAAAGAAAACACAAATGGTAGGTAAACAAGGTTGACCATGAGTAGGAACATATTTATAGTGTCCCTTCTTAGATCTGGAATGTATTTGCATTTGAGTACCATTTTTCAATCATAAATAAATAACGTGTGTGTTTATTTGTATGTGTTTTAACAGTAGCTAATGGTTTACATGAAACAGTTTTGAATTATTAATTTTCTTGTTATGCCACAGTGTTGATTTACTGAGATCCTAACTAAAAGTCATATTTTAATGGGTCCAATGCCACTTGCATAAAAGGATCTTTATCCCACTTATAGAACAAATTATAGTTAAAGCAAGAGCAAATATGTTTGGCATCTTTTTTTCTTGTTTTCTGATAAACAAAATGTTTTTATATCTTTAAATTTTAAGGGACTCTGATTTCATATTGTAAGAAAAGAAATAAAACTTAATTTGTGTCAAATATTCTAATACTCTCTCTATAGTTTGTAGAAAAGAAGTTTGGATTGTTCCCTAACAAAGATACTCTCTACTGGAACCTGCAATGAAACACAGGGAATACCTCCAACTCAGCCTCTCTCCCTCTCACCACTAACCAATGGTGAAAGGAAATGAGAATGTCTAACTTGCTTTGAAAACTGACATCCTAAATCTCTAAAACTCTTATTTTCCACATTCAAATCTATGGCTGGATATTCTTTCCTCTTCTAATTCCACTACTCTTTTTAGTTTTACCTATTACAACCACTTTCCGTATTGTAGCTATTTCCCAGATGCCATTTCAAAGGATAACAAATGTTATGTTACTTTTATTGTCCCCATGGCTCCAACACTTCCCAAGGTATTTCCAGCTCAAAGAAACAGACGCTCACACTGTAGCATTTCATAGGAAAGACAGAATAGGAATGACTGTTATTAACCTCTGTAGAACACTCCTCTCAACTCCTCCTGAGCTCCTCCTGTGAGACTCAACTGGTTTCTCAGAAACCCACTAGGTCTTCTGACAATCCCCTTTGCAGACCAGATGTATCTGTCTCTTGATGCTACAATATAAAACTATATTTTTCCTTATAGACTAGGATCATCTATCATGACAATGCACTTTCGGGAACACAATTTAATTTTATTAAGCACAACTGCTTTATAGCTGGCTTCATAGGCATACTGTGTCTTCCAGGCAAAGGCAGATATAAAACTTCTCACAAGGAGAGATTAATCCTATTATTAGATGATCTGTTATTCTCATTAATTGCACAACTATAAAGTTCATTGAAACAGAAACTAGGGAAGATTTTGTAGGATGCTGATTCAAAGATTTAAACAGCTAATGGAAGATACCTTTAATGTAATTTTATTGACATTCTTTTCAACCCCAGAGACAAAATTTCTAAAATCACTTGGACATCTGGTAAAGATATCACTGACATTCTTGGATATGTGGGATCATGTATATTCTGCAGGGCTAAAAAGGTCAAAATTGGGATGTCTGGATAAAGTTGGGCTCACTTAGGCACCTGCTCTTCTGGTCTACTTATCCTCGCTTGCCCAACTGAGCAGGCATTAGCAGGAGCAGCTCCCATAAAGAGATCTGCTGAGTGCTTCAATAATACTGGGCATCTTAAATAATTCTAAATGTAATTTTTGTTAAGTTGCCTTGATCCATAAATATCTATTCGAGTATCTTTTGTAGTTTTGATCTTGATGAGGACCATTCTGTGACGAAATTATGGCACATAGTAATCAAAGAAAAACTACAGCTCATTTTGTTAAATCATACCACACAATAAAACACTACAATAAGCTATCTTTAGTACAAAAACAGAGCTAAAAATTAAAAGAATTAACATCTCAACTTTTGATTGAGGATCAGTACAAATAAATTTAAAAACAAAAAAGTGTGAGACAAATATCACTAGTCAGTTTTCTTTTGCTTTAACACGCTAAATAGCTGCTCTGGATATTTACTTAACCTTTGTCTCTTCTGCATTGTTTCCTGACTTACCTGCAGTTGGAGTGGGCCTAAGCCTGGTGTTGCTGCGGCAGCAGCTGCCATGGTAGTTGGGATCAGCTGAACAGGGTAAGGGTCACCTAAGTAAGAGAATAATAGAGGCGTCAGCACCTTTTATCTCCTCTCCACCTGCAAATTAAACTCATGCATTCACTCTTTCCAAAAGCCTTCTTTTGTGTGCCTTGCTGAGGCCTAATGAAAAGCTCTATTGTGCAGCCTTTTACTAACACTCTTTTCACAATTCTGGCTGAGAGAGGAATGTGAATAAAAGGCACAAGCAATTAAGGCGGAAACCTCATCCTTTTTTCATGATGTATTTAGGAAAATAGGAGGAAAAAGTGCACATTGATCAGAGAGCTGCACGTTATAACACACACACACACACACACACACACACACACACCTGATAATCTTGATATGAGCACACCAACTCCTCAGCAAATTTAAAACGTTATTATAAAAAGAACTTTATTCTATTTTAACAAACTAAACTCTAAAGATTTAAGTCAAGTACCTTATCTTTCAACTGCTATGCTATTGTCTTGATTCAAATAGCCTCTTAAACAATGTCTCGTGGACAAATTCATAGTAAAGAAAACATTTTATTCAATTTTTAAGTTATTTATTTGTATCTTTATTATTCCAGAGACAAATGTTTATAAAAATAATTATAAAGAAAACAGAAAATAGATTGTTTCTCCCCAAAGGATTTCTGTTCGTGGGAATATCTAAAAAGATAAAAGTTTAGTAATTTGAAATTGATCTTAAAGTTTTAATACATATGATCTATAAAGATATAGAGACACACAAAAACATATATACATATACACACATACAGAAGATTATAATGTATATTTTTGACGCAAATAAAAAATTTTTTTCTACTTAGTAAAGAGTTGCAACAGATGTTTTACATAGAGGCCAATGATATGTTAACAGATAAGTACAATATTAGCCATTTGATATATGACCACAGCAAATAATTCAAAATAATAACTATAAGAACCATTTTACAATATATAAAACAACCTTTTGGAAATCTAATTTGTGAAAAACTTGTTGAATCTCAAATGCATGGAAATTTGACTGAAAATAACTGTTAATATATTCATTCAAAAATATTTATTGAGTATCTGCTATATGTTAAGCAGTGCTGTTGACACTAGAAACAGAGCTTTAAAGAAGACGAATGAGCAGAGGTGTATTAAGTGGGGATCTAAGGCAGCCTAAGCTTTGGTGTTCTGGGAAGGGCCCCTAGCAGTGTTCACAGGGTCAGATGTTTTTATATTTGTCAGCTTCCTTAATTTTTTCCTTTGTTGCGATTTCTTTTTATAAATGAATATTCTCTTTTGTAATGTATATATATATATATAAATAGGAAAGCCATATAGATATAATTTTCTATTTTTATTCTTAAAGAAGACCCCTGCAAATTATATGTTTCAGGCTTCAAAATGCCTGAATGCACCTCTGCTGATTTGGCCTTCCCAGGACTAAAGCTTAATGGGGGGAAAAGATAAAGATAATTCAATGATTAGTATAAGACACAATGACTGTTAAGATAGGGAAGTGTATAAGGCTATGGACTACATTGTGGTGCCCAAGTCTAGTCTAAAAGGTCAAAGACAGCCTCTATGAAGAAGTCATGTTTAAGCTCAAACTTGAATTAAGTGAAAGCTAGCCAGGCAAAGAAGGGAAGGAAGAATGTTCCAGGAAAAGAAACAATTTCATGAAGACTCAAAGTGAAATGGGAGTGCTACATCAGAGCCAGTCCTTGTGTTGCTCAAGTATAGAGTGTAGGCAGGGAAGTAGACATAAATGGGGTTGGAGAGAGAATCAGGCCAGACTGTTATGGCTCTATAAAACATATTAAAGAATCTAAACTTTATCCTCTAGGATAAAGGAAACCATGGACATGAAAAGAAGATAGGTTGAGTACAACCACTTGGGCTAGAGGCTGGAAGCTGTAATCAGTAATAAAAAGATGCAGAACTCTGCATAATATCTAATAATGGTCTGGACTTGTCTGGTGATGTTTGGATGGAGAATGAAGGGGAGAGTCAAGTGATATTTAAGAAGCAGAACCGACAAAACTTAATGATTGTTTACATATGAGAGCAAGAGAAGACTCAAGGATGACTCCCAGGTTTTTCACCTGAACAGCTGATTAGAGAATGGAACTATTTGTTGGGTTTGCAAACATAGATGAGAAGCAAGATTGCCAGGTTGGGCTTGCTGTGGCGGGAGGTTAGGGAAAAGGAATAAAGAGCTCTGTTCTGGACATTTTAAGTTTGAAATTACGATCAAATATCGAAGTAGAGGTGTTCATTGAGGCACCTGATAAACCGATTAGGATTTTAGGGGACAAATCCACATAGGAGACATAAATTTTAAAGTGCTCAGCATATATCTGAAATTTAAAGCTATAAACTATTCAGGAGTTAACTGTAGATAAAAAAAGAGGTCCAAGGATTGGAGTGTGGGATACACTAACATTTACAGTCAGGGAGAAAGGTAACTAGTAGAAAAACTGAGGAGAAATGTAAATTTGGTGTTCCAGACACCAAGTAAAGAAAGATTTTCAGAAAGAGTGATGAATTTTTTCAAATGCTTGATTTAGTGGTTAGGAGTCATTGATAACTTCAACAAGGGCAGTGCAGGGGAGTGGAGGGTGAGAAAGCCTAACTGGAGTGAGAGTGATCGATAGAGGATGATTGAAAGAAAGGCACTGGAGGCAGTAAGTGTAGACAGACCCTTGCTTTTCAGAGTGAAGTTCTCAATGAACAGCACTGGCATTGCCTAGGAGTTTCTCAGAAATGTAGGATTTCAGACCCACCCCAAATCTACTGCGGCAGGCAGCCTCTAAGATGGAACCCCCAATGACTCCCACTTCCTGGTATTTGTGTCCTTGTGTACTTCCCTCCCCTTGAGTATAGGCTGAACCTAGTAACTGCTTTCTAATGAACAGAATAAGGCAAAATTGCTAAGATGTTACTTGTGAGACTGGGTTGCAAAAAGACTCTGGCTTTGTCTTACTTGCCCTCTCTCACCCCCAGCCTCTCTGTCTCTCTTGGAGCAAGCAGCTATGTTGTGAGCTGCCCTGCAGAGAGGATCACATAGGGAAGGACTGATGCATTCAGGCCAACGGCAAGCAGACATGAGGCCTGCCAAGCGCCAAAGGAGGGAGCTTGGAAGCCAACTCCTCCCCAAGGCAAGCCTAGAGAAAACCATAGTCCAGGCCAACACCTTGATTGCAGAAGTGAAAGATTCTGAGCCAGAGGTACCTAGCATGGCTATGTCCAAAGAAACGTTTGTTATTTTAGGCCACTAAGCTTTGGGTAATTTGTTAAAGCAGAAAGCATCTACCTTCTAAATTAGAATTTAAATTTTAACAAGATTCCCAATGATTTGTATGCATTTGAGAAGTGCTGGAGCAGCCAATTTCAGTAAGGTGTTTTGTAGTAGCTAGTGGAGGATGTGTGACCAAGAAAACTTTATTAAAAAGGTATATACTTGTAAAAATTATAGTATGCTTGTGCGCTAATGAGAAAGGCACAATAAATAGGGAAAAAACTGATGATACAAGAGAGATGACAATTGATAATATCTGATAAGGCTTTACTTATTACTCAGTATTTTTAATATTTAATCTAGAAAATGCTGTATCCGATTTTATAAAGTGAAGGGAATTTTAGATGTTTAAAAGCCAGATTTGTATTTAGGCAAACTAGCTAAAATAGCAAATATTATGATTATTAGAATTAACAATTTAAATACTTAAAACTGTAATTCATTTATATTCCTCATTTAATGAATGCAGTATGAAAACTAACTACAGCAAAAGTACAGAGGCCGTGGTGCTCTGCATGGTGATAATTCTTTTTATATACTTTACTTTCTCTGTTCAAAATTAATCAATTAATAAGTGCTTATAACATCTACCATGTGACCAGAGCTCTGCCTGGTGCTATGGGAGATAAAAACAACAAAACAAAAGAAAACTTAGTCTCCATCTACTATATGCCTATCTTTTCTAACTAAGTACTTATCTGAGCAGTACTGACCGTCAGTGAGTGCCATAGGAGTTAAGGGAGAACTAATTCCAGGTTTCAATCCTTAGAGAATAAAGGTGAAAATAAGAGTGAGCTTGGCCGGGAAGATTTGCAGGTGGAGGGGAAGACATGTTTTAGGTAGGATGAAATGCATCAAAATATGAGTATGAGAGGCTGAAGGAATGGAGAGAAAACCAGTTTAAGTGATAGGTGATAAAGGGAAAAGAGATTGAAAGCAGGGAGTTGAAAAACTTTTCATACTCCAGACTTGATATTTGCATATCAAAAGGCAGCGGATATGAAATGAAGTTTACAAGTTTCATTAAAGAGGTTAAGAAGGAGAAGGTCTTAAAGATGACCCACTCTTTAACTAGGGACACACACTTAAACTGAATTTGGATGGATGGCAAACACCCTCATAGGAGCTCTGGGATTCCCAATTACTAGCATCTAATTGTTAATAACAAATTGAGTATTATATGAACATTTAGAGCTCACTAGTTAAAATCTGGACTATTCCACAATGTTTTACAAAATGCATATATTAGAATCTTATCTTTCTTCATTTCCTAAATTCATAAATCTATACTAGTGAAATGAATATAATTATCTTTCCCTTGCATAACTACTGTTATACACATGCCATACTGTACATGTATATGTAAATGTATATATATATATATATATACACATATGAAATGTATATACAAGCTAAATAAGTTTATATATGTGTTATGGGCTGAATTGTGTCCCCCCAGAATTTATATGTTAAAGTACTAACCCTGCAGTATCTCAGAATGTATGTTTTTGGATTTAGGGCCTTTAAGAGGTAATTAAAGTAAAATGAAGTCACATGAGTGGGTTCTAATTCAATATGACTGGTGTCCTTATAAAAAGAGATTAGGACACAAACAACACAGACGGAGGGACAACTATGTGAGGACAGACGGAGAAGACAGCTATCTACAAGACAAAGAAAGAGGCCTCAGAATGAAATCCAGCCTGTTGACACCTTTGATCTCGGAATT